AAGTTAAAATTTTGTTTTTGCACACGGAGTAAAACCTTCTGATCAATGTTAAAACATTTCAGGTAAAGCATAAACCTAAACATTATCACAATGTGACGAACAAAAACACCTGAGCAAGCACATCCAGCTTCAGGTAACATTTTCAAATTCCTCTTATCCTAAATTTAGGCAAATAATCCGATGCTCAGAAATGTTCTGTTGACARATTTCTGCAAAAGTGAGCTTCTAAGAAATATGTCATCCAAGAATAGCAAACAAACGCTATCTAATATTTACCACAGTAAATTAATGTGCAACTAATACGTGTCGTAGAATGAAAGACTAAAACAAACGTTAGAGACTTGAACAATTATGACCAGAATGATTATTATGAAGATTTGTTGGAAGCTCAGATCGTATCTTATTTGTGTTCAAATTCTTTATTTGTCCATCTCTCAACATACGATATTAGTTTAAAACTCTGGAATAAATATGCATCTCACCAAGGAATACAAGACCTTTAATTTGCCATGTTTTTTTCTGCGAGAGAACTTCCTCCTGTCTGCAGGAACAACACTGGACAGTGTAGTTCCATAGAGTGTTGCAAAACTAACCCTACACCTCATTAGATTTATAACAAAAACAAGTGTTAAAGGTGAATGAAAATACAATTTGTGACAATTGTTCACCAGGATGAAATGAAGCATTGTGTTCACTGCACACAAAGACGGTGGATTTTTACGTTTACAAAAAAGTAACTTTTKGTATAAAACAATTTTTTTTTGTTCTTAATAATTATTGACCTTGTATTTCTTATCACCCACTGCCTCTCGTGCCATGGTTCTAAAAAAAGATAATTTCATAATGAAAAATGGGGATGTTTTAAATGCTTTGGTCAAAATTAATTGATAAATAATATTATGAGAGTAATAAAATCTTGCTCCATTTATTTGCGCTTGCATGTTCTTGGAACAACTCTGATGGATGGATGGATGGATGGATGGATGGATGGATGGATGGATGGATGGATGGATGGATGGATGGATGACAAACGATCACATATTCAGGTAAAACATTAACGCCCACATGTTGACATTACAGGTAAATATTGTTTGAGTTCTGTCCTTTATCAAACCTGTACTTCTAACAACACATTGAAGGATTTGTTCTAAATGTGACATCGATGACTGTGAGTTGTACCGGTTGGTGGCGTGAGCTGAAGGTGTACTGGACAGAGTGTGGCGGGTATCGGTTCTGCTCGCTGCTGAAGCTCCCCTGACTGGGGGGGTAGCCTGAGCTACTGGACATCCTGGGTCAGTGCTGGTGGGCTGTGGCTGCCTCACAGATCGGGGAGATCAGCTAGACCATATTTGGAGATAAAGACCACCTGAAAACAGATAACAGTTGTGCAAAATTTCACATTACAACACATGCATAAAATACTATCAAGAATATAGAATAGAATAGAATAGAATAGAATAGAATAGAATAGAATAGAATAGAATAGAATAGAATAGAATAGAATAGA